AATGTTCATTAGGAACATTACTGAAAGCGTTTAGGCAAAGTACGATTTTTCGGTTTTTGCGGGATGACGAGCATGTATTAAAAATGGAGCTAGATCATGAGACTATGGGACTTGTGATAGCGCGAGAAGAGCTTCAGAACAAACACAAGCCGCCCTCAAAAAAAGACCCGTTTGCCACCGAAGTTGCTCGTGGAGAAGCTATAAAGAGAGAGGTAATAATATGAATTTTCTTTTTTTTTTTTTTACTGTATCACTTGTATTATTTTTTAAAAGTTATTTTTAAAAGCTCACTATTTGGAAAGGCAGTAAAGTTATAGAGGAATTTTGTTTTACTTTATTTATTAACCTGAATGCTTTAAGATTGAAAGGAGCATTATTGCATTTCGCATCATTACTAATAAAGCTATAAATAATTCTCCACAACCTGGCGAAGAACTTGCATGGCTCACTGAAGCCCTAGCTTTGTTTAGTATCCAGTTACCGCGCATGCCAAGAGAGTATATTGCTCGCCTTGTTTTTGATGTGAAACACAAAATTTTGGTTCTTGTTAAAAGAGGTAAAGATTTGCTGAAACAGTTAACAATTTCTTAACCTTAACGAAGGGGTTTTGTTTTATTTTTTGTTTTTTGTTTGAAGGATTATAAAATACTGAGAAAATTATAAGTAAATTTTTGTATAAATTATTGTGCAACTTTTAGATCGCGTAATTGGGGGTATTTGCTTTCGCCCATTTCCTGCTCAAGGTTTTAGTGAAATAGCATTCTGTGCAGTAACTGCCAGCGAGCAGGTACCAGATATAATTTTTTGTCGGTGTAATTTTCTTTTTTTGCTCTGGCGATGAAGTTCAAATGACAAATTCTTTTCTTCTTTTTTTCTTTACGGTTTCCTAATGGTCTTAGTTGATGTCTTTATTTTACATGTATACATTTTCACAGGTGAAAGGTTATGGTTCATGCTTAATGAATTATCTGAAGGACTATCATGTTGGGACTTATAGAGTGTACCACTTTTTGACTTATGCAGACGAATTTGCCATAGGGTACTTTAAAAAGCAGGGCTTTTCTAAGAATATTTCCCTACCTTTGGAAAGCTACCATGGTTTCATTAAGGACTACGAGGGAGCGACGCTGATGGAATGCCAACTTCATCCTAAGTAAAATTTTTACTGCTTAATTTGCTGCAAGATTATGGAACAAACCAAAATATCCATTATTATCACATCTTATTTTTTACAGATTTGTTCTTTCTTTTTTTTTGTAAATAGATTTAAAAGTAGAACGTATGCACCTTTCAGTGGAAAAACGGTGCAAATCTGGTCAGAATAATTCTGTTATTGGTTATAATTTTAGAATTATATATTCTGATTTCCATATGACAGCAAAGAAACTGAATGATTTGTATAAAAGTGTCAAAGAAATGAATCGAAAGAAGGGCGGTCGCGAGTACAAGGGTATTGAAGAATTATTTCAAAAATTTGGTAAGCATTTTTTCGCTTTTTGTAGGTTTAGAACTGCATATTGTAGTTCTCGTATGATGAATTAAGGATTAGGAGATGTGGTTGTTTCCTTTTCCTTTTTGTTTACAGATGGGAAGGTTCTGTCGCCATCAGACGTTCCTGGTTTGGAAAAAGCTGAAAGTATACCTCTAGCAGATAAAAACGTTGTGAGGAAAGTAAAATCTATTCTCGAATCTATCAAAAAAGAAAGGAAAACCTTTTGGCCTTTTCTGGAACCGGTTAACCCAAAAGAAGTGCCGCTTTATTACGATTACATCAGGTTCCCAATTGATGTCAAGACCATGAACGAGCGTTTGAAAACTGGTTACTATAAACACGTAAGCTTTACTTTTAGACAATAACTCATTTGAACTATACTGCTTACCAATTAGGGAACAACTCTGTTTCATGGACGAGTGCACAGAAGGTTCAGTTTTTGTCGGTTGGTGAAGTTCACTGTGCTTATTGAACTGCTAGTTTGCAGGAGCGTTTATTCATCGCTGACCTTCGTCGTATGCTTAACAACTGTTATAAATTCAACGCTCCGGAAAGCTATTATTATAACGCTGCTTGTGAATTGGCAAAATTTCTGAGAAATCTGGTTTTAAAGAAATTTCCAGACTCTGATTTGTTACCGGAATTGCCATCTACTTGACATTTCATATTGAAAAGTAGGGTTGTTAGGTCGTGGTATAATGCGTATGTGTGTTTTAATTTGATGAATATTTCTTCATCTTCTTTCCAAATACTGTGAAAAAATTTCATATTACTGCATACTCCCGTGATTCTCCTGTCTTTTTCTTTTGAAGTTTTTTATTTGTATAAATTTCGCTGTTTTTTTCTGTAAATAAGCGTGTTTATTATTTTGGTCAAACTTCTAGTTCGATAATCGCTATGTTATCTCACTTTACTATTTTTAGTTAAAGAAGTCCAGTGTAACTGAAATGATGAATTTGCTTCGAATTATCTTCTGTGTCATTTCCTTAGACAGGTCGTTACTGAAAAAAGCAAGTTGTGTAACTGTTTCTCAAGACATGTTTATTTGGAAATGACTCAATCAGGTTTCTAGTTTTCACACGCATAGTCTTTCATTGGTTTTGCTAAGTACAAATTTCCTGGTTTTTCTTTGAAGTTGGTGTATATAATGGTTTGATTGAGGTTTTTATTATTATTTTTTGGCTCTATGTATAAGGATTTTATTTATTGTGATATCCAGAGTTTACTAACAAGATATTTCATAGTACAAGTTTTTTTCTTCGTACCTCATTGTCTGATTTCTGGTCTTTTGGTAATTTCTTATTATGTGGTAAATTTTATTGATTTGCCGCTGACATAGTCTTGCTTTTTCTTACCAATATTGTTACGTTTTTTAATTTTTCTACTAATTTATCTTTTTAAATGTTAACTGTATTGTTTGAGCAGTTAACTGAGGTTACCTCATTATTTTTACAATTATATAGAAATACAGTTTTCATAATATATTAAGTTCTTTTTGGACTTCAACGGTTTTTAGTTTTTTTTGTTAACCCAGCATATATTTTTTGTATCAAATTTACATTTTTAGGTCATTGTACACTACATCCACTTGTGTAATTTCAAGCTACCATTTGTAACAGTAGTTTTTTTTTAGAACAAGCTTGCAGTTTTGGAAAGATAGTTGTTGATTTTTTCAAAAGCAGCTGGAAAGTATGAGGATGGAAAAAAAGTAATGTCGTAAGCAGTTAAAGGATAATAGTTTTCTTCAGCTTAAATGATGGATGCGATTATGGACGATACAATTGTTATTTTTTTTACTGCGAAATTCTTCAAAGAGGTTATGCGATTAGGATTTATGGCGATCGAATTTGACACTTTCTGGTGCTACTTGCGGAGCGTTTACTGAGTAAAATTGTACAATTTACTTTTATTGTTTTGAAGTTCTGCTAAGGACCACTAGAATTGAAGTCGTGTTGTTTGACGGGTGACGGCACTGTTTTTTTTTGTCACAGTGTGGCTGTTATAAGAAAACCATTAAATGTATGCCAGGTTAAATGACGTTTCATGAATGTATCTCTCGTTTAAGTGAAGTCGTGTGAAGTGCGTGTTAGTTGGAGTCGTTGAGTATATTGTTTAATGACTGTTGAAATGCTACTCAACAAGCTATTTTTTACGCTCTTGCATTGAGAAGGTGCTTTAAACAGGCGGGGGCAGGAAACTGATTTTACTTTGTTTTCAAGTATTGTTAAGGTTGTTAGGCTTTACTAGAAGATTTAAGGCAAGACTTTTTTCTGCTTTCCTTGCAGCTAAATTTTGTTCTTAATTTTTTGTTAAGAGCAATTTTCAAGTTGTTCTGGAAGCTATTGTTTTTTTTAAGCTTTCGATTGAACTTTAACGCTCGGTGAGTGAAGTCAAATTATTTTGGCTATGTGTTTACTGCAACTTTAAGAGAATTGTTATTTCTGGTTTGGAATTTTTGTTTTTTTCTGACTTTTTTTAGGTTTATTGGAATATAAGCGTTATCATGCATAACTGTATTGTTTCATCTAGGGTTTATGGTATGATGCGTGTGTTATTTAAGAAAGCAGTTATGGCTTTTCATATAGCGTTTAATCTTTAAGTTTCAGTCATTTTAGATTGATTGACACGCTGCATGACGGATTTCAAACTATCTACTAGTAAACTGGTGAAAAAAATTCAATTTAAAGTTATACAGATCTGATTTGACGAAAGAGTGCTTGTTAAATAGGCTAACACTCCTGAAATTGCAATTCTTTTTTGGTTTTCTTTTCTTTAAGATTCAGGTGCTAATTGAATTTAAAGGTTAAAAGCAAGCGTGAGTTTTCAAAGACAAACAAAAAAGGAGCTTGTTTGCTTGCGAGGGGTTTGTTTTTTATTTGATTTTCAAAACAAACGAAGCATGCACTGAGAGATAAGCTAAGGCCAGCTAAAAGGAGTACAAAAATTAAGAAATATGTTGAGCAGTGAAATCTGATTAAAAAGCTTAGTGAAATTGTTATAAATTTTACATTTTTAAGAAATAAAATAAAAAATCAAATTGCTGCAAAGTTCTCAAAACTTGGTAGTTAATTGTCATCTTTTGTTCTCGAATTTGTGCAGTTTTTTATGCAACTATGTGTGATGATTTTTTTTTCAAACAATGTGGGGGTGGGAAGTAATGATAGTGTTTTTTTGAGCCGTAAGTATCAGAAGTTTCAAAAAGATAATTTTCAAGCAGCAATCTGCTATCAGATAATTGTTCTGTGAAAATTTGTCAGTGCTTAGAGTACATAGACGATTTACTTGCATCTCTTCAGAAGATAGCCTTTTGCAGCATTTTCAAGCGACTACAGAGCTTCGGAGATTTGCTAAAACTTAAATATTGTTAATGTACTGATTATGGTCGTGCATAAAAATACACTAATTTTTATTACTCAGATTTCTTTGAGAATTATTTGAAGCCTTTCACTGTTAGACGGAACAAGTGGTCTGAGTTAAACAATAGTCTTAATGTTATAAGTGTTGAATCGTTGTTGTGAAAGGTCAAAACATAAATGTGCAGTTTCGTACAATTTTTATTGTCCTGTACCGTTGTGGTATAAGTTTTATGGTAACTGGCCAGTTGAGAAGCTGTTTTGCAGATGACCGTAATAACTTTAATGCTGAGTTTGTTAGGTGGTGAAGTAAATTTAAAATAGAAACAGAGGTATTCAACAAAAACAAATGGCTTTTTTATTATTTTAACATTACAATTTAACGGAAAAAAGTTTTTCTAATTTCCAATTTACATAGCGGCTGTTATTATTTTGCTGTAACTGCTGATTGAACGTTTTAAAGTTTGTTGTTTTAGCAAACAGTCTAAAACTAAGGCATTTAACGAACAGAATAGGTCTGGTAGTGAAGGGTTGTGCTTTGAAAAAAAAAGAAGTGGACACAGAGTAGGTTTTAAAGTACCTACGAAGACACGTCAATTGCAATGTCGAACAATGAGGACACAAAAGTTATCAGAGATTTGAGCTGAGGATAATATATTTCTCATAAACATACATATTCTGGAACACTGAGTTACTAAATTCTATTATATTTGTGCTCTTTTTGTCGTGGATATATACCATGACGTCGGGCGTTTTATGATCTAATGGGGCTTCTATTAGAATTGATGTGCCTCATAGTATGATGGCGAGCTTATTCTGAACCTGTGCAGCTATTTTGTCTATCCTGTTCAATTTCATATTTTACGACAAACGGAACAGGCAGAAAGTATTTTTATTGAATTGAAAATATGAATTTTAAAAAGAAAAACTAACTCTCAAAAGAGCTGTTGTTTGATGCAATAGTTGTTGTTTTTTTCTGTTTTCAGCCATTGGTCAGAATGCTCGTATTTAATTCAAGGTAAGGAACAAAAATGCAGAAGTTTTTTTCTCTTTTTTTCGATGATTTGTTGGTGTCAATTTGTTATAAGGATGCATTTGTGCAATTTACGTTGATAATTTTTTAGTTTTTTCTTTTGCAAAGGAATGATATCGGCTCTTTAACGTTGAACATCTCTTGA